GCATTCAGAAACAGACAGGGGATCGAACTTTGGCACCTTCGAAATAGTTCCAGATAAAACTGCCTGACGTCTGCGTGTATTAACTTGTGAAAGTTTGCGGTCATAGTGACCCTGACTTGTATACAACATACCTTGTATGTCCTCATCATTAGCTACAGTATCACTTTCGTGACCCGCGACTTTGTCGCGAAGCTTAGCAACTTTGGATTCTTTCTCGAGCTGCAGGGCGTTTTCAAGTGTGTGTTTTCGAGTGCGCGGATTGTTGACGTTCTCTCTATTACGACTACCTGCTGCCATGATGTTTTGAACTATATCAACTGCAGCCTGTTTGTCTTCCTGTTCCTCATAGAAATTGGTGGCTAATGTCATCATGATGCGACGAGATGAATGTTGGGTTAAAATTACAACCCTTTGTGTCTAAGTAATGGAGAGGGGGGGGTGGGACAGAATGTGAAGTGAGCAGGTACGTAGATCGATTCGGGAGGGAGGGGCGGCGTATGGGGGAAAGGGTGAGTGGGGGGTACACGAGCGAAAGTGGCGACGGTAGCAAAGTCTCAATGGCAAAGACGTCCGGAGGTGTGGGCAGAGCGACCCCTCTTTCGTGGAGGCCTGGGGACTGGCGCGATATACCGTACACGGGCGCCACACACATGGCCACAAACACAGCTCTCATATGAAGGCGCACGAAAAATAAACTATCTCCCCTCCCACCGCCGCTCGAAACCATGACACCGTGCAGTAGCGAGCCCACAGCACTGTCCCTTCACGCCCCTCCACATGTCCACGTCCATCCACCAGGGCTCTACCCGCTCTCCCCCCCCCCCTCCTCCGCCGCGTCCTTCCATCCCTGTTTCCACGCATCGCACGTGGCACACCTGAGTCGCTTTATTCCTATAAACTCGTATAAATACACCACCGTCGCTTCATATGATACACTCGTCGAACCCTCACTGGTGCCGGACGCAACGTGTTTTCTCACACCGTGTTTTCTCATACCACGTCCCCATCCGCCTTCCGAACGCGAGACCCGCTACTCGTCTGTGCGAAGCAACCACCACCGTGTTTTCTCCCACCGTGTTGTCTCATACCACGTCCCCACCTGCCTCCCGTACACGAGACCCGCTGTTGTAGTCGTCTGTGTAAGACAACCACCGCCCTCACCTTCTTTCCCGCCTATGCACTATTTCACAATGCACTCTTGCACTTAATTCTTCCCCATTAACGCACCCTTTCGCCTTTCGCCCTTTCCTGTTTTCCCTCTTTCCCCACCGCATTTCATCCTTCCATCCATTCCACGTGGACACGTATGTTTCGTGTGTCTCCTGAAGCACCCTGTAGTACAGGGTGCTTCAGGTGCAAGTAATATTGTGACTGGTAAATTACCCGAAGCTTACCGTTGTACCCCTCAGGGGGTAGTTGGTGTCAGACTCATGCACTTCCCTTTAACTGTGACTGTAACTGCTTGCCTTTTTCTATTTCACTGTAAGGATGCGAGGAGACAACGCGCCTGGTCTTCCGACAAACGCCTCACCATGCCCTTGGCCCGCGCGCACCTCTTCCCCCGTCCCGCCTTGCATTATGCCATTTTCCCGCCATAATCCCTTTGGGCGAGTGCGATCATACAGCACACGCCCCCGTGCCGCGCTGCACCCTCCCGCCGTCCCTGCCCCGCCCCCGCCTCCGGCAAGGCCTGTTTGTCGCGCGCAGACAAGCCCCACCGGTTCCGCGCGTCGCGCAGCCGTTTTTTAGCGCGCCGCAGACTGCGCGACGCAACCGCCGGCTTCGACAGCCACATTCTTACAAGAGGCGGCCCGTCCGCCCTCCCCCCCCCCCCCCGGCCTGCGGGACTGCACATGCCGCGTGCTGCAAACGCTGCGTTGCTCCGCACTACCGCCAGGCCCCGCGCTCCACACCGGGGGACACCGCGGCTTCATCAGCCCTCGCAGGGCATGCTGCATGCTGTGGTGCGCAGCTGCACGGGGCGTCTGCCTTTGCTGTCCATTATAACATAGCAATACTGCGCCATCCGAGCCCATGTCTCCAGCCTCGTATGCGATGCCTTGCTCTATTTGCAAGAGCCTCAGTGCTCCCCTCACTTTTCCAATCGGCATGTCGTCCGCTACTTAAAATCCGACGCCGGACCTCCAAAACCTGAAAATTTTCATCCCCGTACCCGCACACACAACGCTAAATCTCCAACTTGCAGACACACTCCCGATCATCCTAATGCCTTCCTGTTAACCGCTACCACCGCACTATTCCTTCGCGCCTACTGCAACACCTCGCTCGATTTCTCGCCGTTTGCAACGCAAAGCTTTTATTGTAGATCGGATTTATTGCACCTCCCGTCTACATCATGACTCGTTTTGAGTCGTCCAACAACACAAACACAATGTCTACACAGCGACGGGCTTGGCCTTCTCCCGGGCCTCCTGCTCTTCAATAATCGATTTCTTCAGACCCTTATTCTTGAGTAGCGAGATCGCTGGTTCGCTTCCCTTTCCGATGATGAACACGTTAGTCTTCCGCGTCGCAAAATCGTGCCCCATCGCGTCTCTCACACGAATAATCTCATGAGATCCCGGATGCTTCTCTCGCAACTGGATGATACCGATACGCCCGATATTATGTCCCCCTGTAATCATGCACAGGTTGCCCACCTCGAACTTAAGGATATCCTCTATCTTGCCCGTCCCAATGTTCACGCGCACAGTGTCATCAACCTTGATCACCGGGTCCGGGTATCGGATCGTCCGCGCATCGTGCGTCGCGATGTACGGCACGCCCTTCATACCCGTCTGCTGCCGCTTCACCTTGCACAGTTTGTAAGCCCCCTCATCCTTGGTGATCAGGTGCAGCTTGAATCGTCCCTTCACGTCGTACAAAAGTCGAAACGTCTCATCCGTCTTCTCGATCGTCACCACGTCCATGAACCCGGCGGGGAAAGTCTTGTCCGTGCGCACCTTCCCGTCAACCTTGATCAACCGCTGCATCACAATCATGTTCGCCTCGCGTCCGGTCAGCGCGTACCTGAGACGGTTGCGCAGGATCAGGTTGAGCGGAAGCGACTCGCGCATCTTGTGCGGCCCGGTCGACGGACGCGGTGCCCACACCCCACCCATCTTGTCCAGCATCCAGTGAGACGGCGCATTCAAGCGCTTCAAATGCTTCTTCGGCCCGCGCGCCATTGTGCTCGCCTGTTTTCTGAAGTGCTTCGCGCAGACGCCTCGTTAGCTGTTCAAAGTACAAAGGTGGGGGACCGGGGCGATGGAAACGACGGATTCGCAGGATGAGGGAGACGGGTAGTCCTGGATCGCCGGCGGCGCAAGGGCGGCTGTGAGTGGCGCACCAACCAGATTGGCCGAGTCGTCGTTCGACGGACCAAACCCTAAATTATCTAAATAATCCATTTATTTCTTTGCCGGCTTCAAACATCTCAAGTTTTCTGAAAACGTTTTTACTTTTAACAAATATATTTAGGGCCAAGTAAAATCCGATAGTTTTCTGAACTCTACCTAATTACTGTTTCTTCTTAGCGCATGGAACGCACCGTCTGCTCATTGATCCCGCTAACTACACACTTCAATTGCACGTCTCTCTTTTGAGAGAGCCTTACCAACAGAGCGCTTTGTCTGCTTCACATATCTACACCGCCAAGCACCCGCGTTCAATTCCTAACCCTAGTAATTCACAACTCTCAAATGTGGCGATGGAATGGGAACAAAAACTATCCGCGCTACGCAATCTTCCCGGGACTTCATGGGCCGGAGCGCTGAAGATCCCAGACACACCAACCCCTGGCTGCTTTCTCAAAACTCAAGGGCGTCGCTTTCTCGTAACAAGGTCAGGCGGTCTTGACGGCGTCATTCTTGGGGTTGCCCCTCGACGTGCCTCCTGTCTAGTTGCCATCGAACTGCCTGGCGATGTAGCCATAGCCGTGATCGCAGACTCACCGTTTGTCCTCAACACTTTCGTCAAGGATGTCTTCGCTGTGCTTGGACACTCATTCACTATTATCACACCCTCGTGAAGCCACGTTCTCCAGAATTACAACTTCAATTCGGTCACGAGAAGCATGACGAGTACCATTTGCTGTCCCCGTGGTCAATTAAAACGCACTTTCTCCGAGTTCGAGCAGGCACGGGCAGCCCGACAAGTCTACATTAACGAGGTAGCCATACGCAGTAGTGCATACCTGTTTTGTTCATGGAAGAAATCGCTGGATGACGCCTGTCGCGCGTGGTTGACCATTTTCGGATCTACAACTTTGCAAGACCGAAAGTCCATCAAGCTGAGCGATAAAAAGCAGAGCTATATCTACGCTGCAACGAGACCGCTGAGAAATCCCCATCACTCTGTGCATTGTGGTCTTCCTCGTGCTCACCCATGCACGGCTCGAGGACGCTCACGCAGGAAGACTCCGTACATTGGACATATGTTCCCATTTCTGTGCCAAGGACGTTTTCAGGATGATAGAGAGGTACATGCCAGAAGCAAGCGATTCGTGATGCACATGCAATAGGCCAAATGTGGCATTAATGAGGCATGCAGACTAATTCAGCAACTGTGCTCGCGATATGGTACCGTGTCAGAATCATCTCTCTACCTCATCGTGCGCTCAAATCTGGCACCCATCTGGCGCCTACGTGCTAGCGCCACTATTCCAGATGCAGAGTGTGAGGTGGACAGAGACGAGGTAACATGAACCGTTGTGTGAAGGGACTGCGCATCGAAGGCGATGGCCTTCGGTTTATGGTTTACTATTGCAGGAGGTACCAGATCGTTGATAAGCGATATTTGCGGTGTCCTGGAATGAGAAGTCAGTGCTCCGTATCACATATTCCAAGAGCAGTAATTTCGCTCTTGAAGGTAACTACCGATGGTTCCAAGTGTCGTGGTGACAGTTTTGACTTGGGAGGATCCTCAATATCGCACCTTTGGTAGTGCACTGCGGCAGCTATCGCACTCCATTCCTTCATGTCACGACTACATACACGTGTCAGCCTTTTAGTACGTTTGGTCGGCGACGAGGAGATAAGCCTTCATGACCCCTTCTCCACCAGAAGCTAAGAATGAAAAACATGACATTCTTCAATCAACAGCGTTTTAAAAAAGCACGAAAGAGAATATCTCTTTGTCTCAGAAGTAGTGAGGCGTTTCCTGTTCAGCCAGGAAGCCTCTACGAAATCAAGTGCTTTCAGAGTGGTAGAATCGAATTGGGTAAATAACGTTGTCCGTAAAGTAACGCGTGTTTTTTCCATTTGCCCACAAACTCGCTAATTTAGGGCCGTTCTGTGTAACTGGGAACCGAGAAATCGTAAATTAGAATTTTGTTATCATACCTGATTTCCGCTTTTCCCAACATAGATCCGTTCTGTGTATATCGAAAGCGGCAACTGTGGACGAGTTACAGACAGAGATTACCAGGGCCCATAGAGCCTGAGCCGCCGCTGTCCATAGTATGTCCTCGTCGAGCTTGGGAGGTGGGGAGTGGTTCCCTAACGGGGACGGTGGGCAGGCGGTGGTTTGCGAGAAGGGGGGACAGATGTTGGAGAGCTTGATTTGGGAGGGGCCGTTGGAGATAGTGGGTCAAGCGTTGGCGTAGGGAGTGGTCCGCGAACGTGGACAGTGGCCAGGGAGGGCGGAATTTGGTGGAGGAAAGAAAGAGGGGCAGGCGGTGAGGTAAGAGAAGGAGAAGGGGTTGGATGTCGTGGAGGATGCTCTAGGAGGGGGTGGCAGAGATAGTGGTTTGAGTTTAGGCACAGTTGGGGAGAGTTTAGCGAACGCAGAGGGTGGACAGGCCTGGCGGAGGGTTGCTGGAGGAAGGGGGCAGGCGGTGATTTGGGAGGTCAGGCGTCGAGGAGGTTACTTGATGAGGGCGGGGCGGAGAAAATGGTTTTGGAAGGGAGGAGAGTTGGAGGATTTACACGTGGGAAGAGTTGCTTGGAGAGCGGGAGGTTTTCTTTCCTTTCCATGTCGGGGAATCCTTGGATTTCCCCAACAGGAAACGAAATCCGGAAACTGCTTCCGCCAAGTGGACGGCGGAGACTGGTTGGCCTGGATTTCGGATTAACAATTTCCGCATTTCCAGATATACCCAAGAGTAGTACGTACCGCTCAATAGTTCATATAGGATATCTGGAGATTCGAATGCATAGATCAAATCTCTTGGCCTTTCTCATAATCGCGTTCCTGACGCTGTTGTTGGGATTCGGTTACGTTTGAAGTGTGTACCCTTGAAGGGTACGCGAATCGTTTCGAATCGGGTCATTGTCCAAATGGAAGAACTAAACTGTTTCCGCTTCATGATCCCTAGTCGTGACTGCAAGTCCATCTTGTTACGCAAGAGCTCGCGAGGTTTTCAGCTTCCTTTCTTCTGCTCGCCGGAAACCGATGACGCGGCTTGGGTTAACTCATGGACGGCAGAGACGGATGATCTGGTCGCCACATTCTTCAAGGTGTTTTCATTTCACATTTACGTACGAAGATGTGTGTGGAGGAACCCAGATCCCCCTCGCGATGAAGACGTCGTACTCGTTGCCGAAGTTATTGATCTCAAGGAACCTGTTCAAGAACGGCCTGACATGTTGTGGGTCACCTGGGCGGATGCGATACGGTCGAAATGGATATGCAATGAAGGTGAACCGAATATTATGGAATTCCTTCGGGACCTGCAACTCGAGACCGCGATGCACTTAGTTCCACCAGAACGCCCTCCTTGGCGCAGGCCTAAATGGTATCAAAACATAAGTGCGTGGGCAGCCAGAGTGATTGAGGACCAGGGATTTTCCGTTGTAGGCGGGAGCTTTCAACAGGTAGAGAACACCTTTACGCATGGCGTGGTTCGTGTTAAAGTCAGCAGAGAAAAATCAGTGACAGTGGCGTCACTCCGGGCTTTGAAGGACATGGACGACAGCGTATATGTCAGAGCATGTTTGCCAATCGCTTCTGAACCGCAAGTAATTGCTGGAATTTCCGCGCTTGTTTGTCAGGACCCCGTACTACCGATTGTGGGGATCGGCATTTCTCGGCATATCATCGTGCAAATTGGAGGCCTCTCCGGCTTCGATGTCGAGCCCAATCGTATAATGAACAGGCTGGCTACAATGCACATAAGTTCTATTTCGGCAGTAGCGGCACTCAAGGAGCGTGGCGTGCCAGATCGCAATTTATCATGGATGTCTGATTCGTTCGACGTGATCTGCCGACATCGCTCATTTCGGTCCATGAGCTCCTCCAATAAGCTTTACTTTCGAGGGCTGGCTCAATGTGTTCGGAGTCTATGTTTGGAACTTTCTGGTTATGGGATTCCGCACACACTGGTACATGGCAAGTTGGGAGTTGAAGCCGTCTATGGCAGCTTTGGAATCGACCCAAAAGTTTTTTTCAAGAACTGGACTTTCTGTGGTATAAGTCATCCTTTGTTTGATTATTTGCACATTACGGAGATGGGGTTTCAAGCTATCGACGACGAAGAGGCTAAAAATCACTACTCTCAGTTTTGGAACGGATATGTTTCGAAGAAGACGTTTACCAAAGCGGTCGGTGTTGCTCGTCCATTGATGCATTTGTACAAATTATACGCCTTTTTGCATATCCACGATGAACTAGAGGAAGATGAGCAAAGGGACATCGCGATTGAGATGACAAGCCTTGTCCGGGCTGTTTCGGGCACGGTTGGTGCGGCCCTAGGATTGTCGTCCGCAAAAACGGATCGTACTGTGTACGATCTCATTGTTCCGAGCCCAGACGGAAGCTGTGTTCTGGCCTATAATTCAGGAGGTCAGAAGTACCTACCTAAGATCTCGCTGACACTAGGAATTCATTTCGGAAGAGATTCATGGGAAGACAATTTGGAAGGTTTGACATCCAGTTTGGATTCAGAGTGTGGGTTTAGCGCTTTTTTTCTCAGGCCAGCTCGCAGACGCACGGGACCCTGCGACGTCGTGGGAGAGAGTGTCCTGATTACTGACTCTGTCGACACATGGACTGTTAGGGATAAGAACGCGATGTGGTTGGATTTAAATCAGGCGTTGCGCTGTGTTTGGAACGAAACATCTGAGGGGTTGAAACCTGTGCAATTGCTCAAAGCCTATGCAAGTGAGAGAACACTTCGAGTAGTCGGATTCCCCCCATGGCGTCGTGTCGCGTTTCTGAAGAGGGTCATCGCCTGGGTTAAGCCTGCCTTATTAGCACGGCAAATGAAACTTGATGGCGTTTTCCATCAAGTACGAAACACGCATCGTTCAAGCGTTTTAGTAGGCACTGTGAGGCCTGTGGGCGGTCCTGACTCCCGAACACAGAGGATATACGTCAAGACTGTCCCTGTCGATTCGATTGAACCGAGAATGTCCCAATGCATTAGCTCTATTCTTGCTGATGTGACCCCGGATGTGCTTGATGTGAACCTGGGCTTGAACACATTTATTCAACGCGATGGTGGGGAACATGTTCCGACAGTTCTGGATGTTAGATTACTCGCAGAAACGATCGCGACATTCCAGAAACGATCTCTTGATCACATCGATGCGCTGGTAGCCAGTGGCGCTAGATTTCGTGGAGTGGGCATTGTGAAAGAGCAGCTACAAAATTCATTTCAGAACTCTCTCTTGGACTCTCTTAATAACGATGCCACTGTGGCGGAGCTGCGGATGAGAGTTCCAGAAATCATATTATACTGCGACGAACTGTCTGGGACCGACATCCCCTACACTTTGGTGCACGGGGACCTTCATCTTGCAAATATCGGGTATCTAGATGAGAAGCGTTGTTACCAGATATTTGACTGGGGGACCGCGTTTCTTGGGCACCCATTCTGCGACTTTGCAGTTTTCTGTGCAACGTCAAATCTGTCAGAAGCGGAACGTCTGACTGCTGAAGAGGTGTACTTCTTGTCGTGGGAGAAGTACGGAAACCAAGGCGAATTAGGTAGAATCAACAGACTTGCCCTAATTCTTTATTGGGCCATAAATACCTGTTCTATCTTGCATGGTGAAGGTAACAGAGAGGAGTCTTGCAAGCAAGCAGTGTTGGCGAAACTGAATACCTCTATCACATTTCTAAAAGGATCGATGGACGAACATCGTGCATACGATTCTTCCGTTAGTTCGTCGCCCGATACAAAGTTGTGCTGACACTGATTGATCTCAGAACTAGTATCAAGAATTGATTGCAAGGCTTCATGCAAAATGCAGTTTGGCATGTGCCAAGAGGATACCCCCGTGAAGAATGGCTGCTTTGACCACTCGTCCTGGTTGAAGACGCTTGTGCATTGTATATGATGTACAGTAGTCGTGTTGCACTACATCGTCCTAATCCCCACACTTCAAATTCACAGCCGTCTACGACGTGCTCACTACTGCGGAGGATTCAGAGCACCCCTCCTGCACATGGAGCACAGACCGCAGCACACCCACCTTCCGCGAGCGTTGCGAATATAGTACGTGTGAGAACCACACGATCTTGACGCACCTTGGGGACGACTGCAGTCCACTTTTGTATGCAGTGTTCTATGACCGCCACACTTCTTGCATATGCCCTCCTCGAAGAGGTTCCTCCCTGAAAAGCTTCCATACCTTCGCTGACCGCTCCTCATGATGACACGGCCCTCATGCGAGACGGAAAATTGAACAACTGATGCATCCCCTCTGGCTCCCCTCACTGTCACAACTTTTATCAGTGTCTATCACAATTGTCTACGTGAGGTAGTGCCACCCACTAGGGACAGGTGGCACAACCTTAAGGATTACGATTGTGATAGACACTGATAAAAGTTGTGACCACAATCGTGGTAATGATAAAAAAAATATCAAAAACATAAGAAAAAAATAGACACTGATAAAAGTTGTGACCACAATCGTAATCCTTAAGGTTGTGCCACCTGTCCCTAGTGGGTGGCACTACCTCACGTAGACAATTCAACTACCTACAACTTGAGGATACTCCTAAAGGATCCTCATTACCAAAACGGGCAAAACGCCTAATTAAGCCTGATACAGGCGCATTTGTAGGTAGCACCCCACTAAAAAATGGGTGAGTACACTTTTAGTCCACTGGACTTAGCGTCGAGTGGGAGTATAAAGGTCGAGAACAAAGACCGTGAACGTCTTCGTCCACACACAAAAAAACCCACACACAAACAAACCAAACCCAACGAACGCTTCAGCAGTCCTTGTCCCCCTCCCGCACCCCGCGGCGCCCCGGCCTGTGCTTCCCCCTTTGTGCACAGAGCCTCAGTGGCCCGCGCCACCTGTCCACGTTTCAGATCACCCGCCCGCTCCCCGGGCAAATTCCGATACTTATAAGTTAACGAACAAGCCCCCTGGAAATTTCAAGAAAATTTTTGGTTCCTTACACACTACCAATTTATTACTGTCTAATAATTGCTAGTGTGTAATACCACGCACGTGCACATGTGTGACCAATTTATTGGTAATTTTTATGGCACGGCTCAAACGAGCGGCCAACGGTCCAGCTGTACTACTAGAAGCTGCTGCCAAGAGGCGACGCATTGCAGTTGAAGTCGCTGATCAAGATTCCGGCGCCGCTGATCCCGACTCCGCCCCCGCCGATCGGGACTCTCGCCCAACGACACCTATCACCTCTGCATTCGCCACTGATTCAGATTAAACTGAGTTTCAGGCGCCACCTCTTGTAGATATAGAGGCAGACGGCCACAGATTGGACGAAACAACCGTCGCCCGTTCCACCTCCTCCGCCTCGTCGACCACCGAGATTTAGTCGACGAGGAGGAACCGTCGCCACTATCCGAGTTCCGCGCACGCCCCATCGCGCGTGTGGCAGAGCAGCTCGCACGTCGCCGACGAAGCCCGCCTCCCCGCAATAGAACGGTGTACACTTGTCGCCCGTGCGCACGTTCTTTCACCTCGCGGCGACAACTCTTCTTTCACGAGGCGAGTGGCCGACACGCATGCGCACAAATCCGCCTCCAGGATCTCGCGGCGCATCTACACTGTCAGCTCTGTGATCTCCCGTTTGCCGACAGGCACAATTTCGAATCACACAATCGCTCCTCGATCCATTTTAGGAACGCCCGCCGTCAGCGAGAGGCCCGCCTCAATTGAGGCAAATTTCAATTAATTGAAATTTGAATCTCACGCGCGCAAATTTAAATTTTGACTAAATTTCAACGTCAGGAATTAAATTCCTAAAAACTTTGAAAAAGACACTTGTCGACATCGATTTGAAGAGTACACATCACAAACCACAATCACACACGAACACGACCTACACCTACCTAGTCGTGTACACGTTTGTGCACAGGTACAGGTGTACCACCAATACACGTGTTCTGTACTGTACTTCTTCAAGTTAATTTTTGCCCTGTATACGCGTGTATAGCCATATACACTTGTCAAGCGTAGGACACGTATCTAGGAACACATAACTGGACACGTATCTAAGGATACACAGTTGAACACGTATCCGAGGTGACATAACTGGACACGTAACCTCGTTTTTAAACATCTGTGGTATCATTGCCAGGATGTGTACAGTACCCGACGGCGCCTGTTCAATACAGGCGCACGCCCACACGTGTGCAGTACACGCGCACGCGCACGCTCACACGGGCATTACAGGCGGACGCCTACACGTGTGCCTTACAGGCGGAAGATCTACTGTATACATTACAGCCCGGAGGTTGTATATGACAAGGTACAGTAGTAATGGCACAGTACAGTGCATTACATAATAGAGTACAGTAGTACAGTAGGACGGACAATGTCCAAGACCCCGCGACCTCGCTTATTTAAGCGACGGCGCCGGGCAATGACAGTAAACAGTCAAGGATCTTTTGGGAACGGATTTCCTTCGACGGTGCGACACCGCGGGTCAAGACAAGCCTCTGACTTAGGCGACATTGTCGGCATCTGTCTTGCGACGTTTCCCTGGCTTCTATTGCCTTTACTTTACCTTTTCCATTCCTCCGTCTTTGCGACTACGCAGGTTAAGACTAGCCTCTAACCTCGGCGTGTTACTGTCGCTCGACGTTCCAATTGTTTTCCTTTTTACTCTGTCGTTGCGACCACGCGGGCTAAGACTGGCCTCTAGCCTGGGCGTATTACTGTCGCACGACCTATTTCTCTCTCCCTGCATTGTGACGATTGTCAAGTCGCGGGCTACGACAAGCCTCTGGCCTTGGCGGCACTATTGACATCTGTCCCGCTCGATCCCTCTAGGAGTTTCCGCTACTCGGCGCTCCGCCCGTGTCTGACACTAGTCTTTAGGCTCGGGTTCACCCCTGTTTTGTGTGTTCTTACACCACCCCTTCCAGTGCTGGTCCCATTCCGGGTCCGCACTTCGACCAGTACGTCGTGCTTTTACAGTCGGCCAACGTACGCCCCCTTTGCTCTACCACAGTCCCGATCAACCGCGGGACACCCCCTTTTGGTTGTTACCTCTTCCTCGAGCTAGCTCATAGCTGGAGACCGCCACTATACTACAACATCTCCGTATGCATCGCACTACGTTATATCACACCACTATTTTACCGAACCGGCCTGTGTATTCTTCCATATTACTATCTTCAGTATATTGGGGAATTAGCGTTACCCATTTACGCTACTATGGTAACGTTAGAAGTAATAAGGGCAACCCTTGACGGCTACCGCCCGTCTTCATCGACGCAAGCCGACATCAAAGCCGCTTTAGCGACTGTCATTTCCCAAGACCCTCAACTTTCAAATGAAGAATGCGTCAACACCCTCCGTGACGACCTCCCGCCGGAAGTGTTATACTCAAGCGAATTACTGAAAGGACCCACCACGCTATTCCGCATTCTCAGGGATTACCTCACGGTTAAGGGACTACAATATACCCCTCATCCTCGAAGTGACCGCATTGCGTATGGCCTGGTCAACATGTTCTTCACCGATGTGCCCGACCGCATTATTGCCAACGCAAACCTGTCTGCATGTCTTTCCTCTTCGACATCACCGTCGGTCAACCATAGCAACCAAACCAGCCAACCCACCTCTCATCTTAGCATGAACTCGAAGATAGCGCATAACATTTCTTCTCGATTCAAAGGAGAGGAACGCTATTCGGGAAAAATAGGTGAAGATATCAACGAGGTAATCGATAACTATTGCGACGTCGCTGATGATTATAACCTCAACGAAGAGCAGAAGCTGAGATACTTTTACAATGTGCTTGATGGCGAAGCTAAATGATTCTATCGCACCTCCATTGCTGGTACCCAAGCATCCTTCGACTCAGCGGTTCAACGGATACTTCAAGAGTTCAACAGCATTACGCGGCAGAACAGAGTTCGAAAGTTATTGCAGAATCTTCGTCTGTCACAGATTCTCAAGACAAAAAACTGCTCCGTCAGCGAAGCACTACAAGAACTTCGTGAAACCATCACTCGTTACACACCACAAGGGCCCAAAACGCATCGATCAGATCCTGATAAGCCAGAGTACCTTCACGACGCCGTGATAGGAACAGAATGGGCTAAGCCTGTTCTGACTCAAAGCCTTGCTTCCACGCCGCCTTGGACTTTTCAGCAGATGTATACTGCACTTGATGGAGCTTGGCTCCAAGAGCAGAAACAGAACGAAAGCCGTAAGCGTGACCCCCCAGAAAGCCGTCAATGATGCCAACCCTCCCCGGCATACATTTCCAAAGACAAAATACATACTGTATACCCCGTGGACCTGGATCCTCCTCGTCAAATCCTTGTGGCAACTTCTCTGGACCGTCCAAACGTTTTAAGGATGCTATAAACGGAAAGGACCGTTTTGGGAACGTACGATGCTGCCACAACTGTGGTAGTAAGTATCACTTCATCTGAGAATGCCCTAAACCCGCCTCTGTCATACGCAATGTACGACGCATGATCAAGGCGCGCCCTAACCACGTCAAGGACATACTATATAAACTTAGTAATCATGTGGAAGACATCAAGCACCATAATGACACTTGTTTCGAAGACTTCGAAGAACCAAATGCCCCAAACAGTTCTGAGTCACGACACTCAGATGGCTCTGACAGCGTGACTGACAGTGACACCGACGAGACAGAAGAAGCAGTAAACAACCACGTGAAAAACGAATCTTTTTACGACTACAAGACCAATTCTCATCGGACTATAGATCCCATCGGATTTTTAGCGAGCGACAGTTCCCATCTCCAAGATATTACACCTCAAACTGTATATTTTGAAACTTTCCGCGCTAAAAAGAGATGCAAGTTTAAACTTGAACGTCGTTCTGCGATAAGTCGCCTTATTCGTTTTCCACGCCACAGAGAAAGAAGACCACGTCACCGCGAATTCGTTGTCTACAACCAGAGCCACATTGCTTCAACTCAAAGAATGCCTTTGCAAGGAGCATGTCTTGACACTGGTGCACAACGCACAGTAATCGGCTTAAGACAGGCTAAGGAATACTGTCGATTCACTGGCACAAAGTTTAGACTCGTTTCCAACAACAACCGCTATCGCTTGGCAACGACCGTCAACCCTCGTTAGGATCTTTGACCATTAAGATACCACTCTCGGACGCCCACGCTACCATGGAACAAGTAGATGTAGTTAACTCAGACGTACCACTACTAATGGGCTTAGGTCTA